AAAAAAAAAATCCCATTGTTTTTGCCTTTTCACGTCCACTCTTGTCATTTTATTTTTAGAAAAACTGAGTCCTGATGTCCTCTACAGAGGACATAGCATAACTTATGAATAAAATAAAATAAAAAAATTCTTATGCTCTAAACAATGTAATGACATGAAAAAATACTAAATTCACAAAGCTTTTTATTTCTGGTTCTCAGGATTAAATATATATTAGTTTAACTGTTTACATTTTGATGAAAGGTCTTTAATAGGCTATTCAACAGCATGTTCCCATTGTGACATTATAGCTTTTATACTTAAAATGTCAAACATAATATCTATAAAATAGTGTGAATGTTCAATAGCAATAGACTTTAATATGTGGCTAGTATTTATTTGCTTATTTATGTATAAGAAATAGCGAAAACATCTACATAACATTTTAGTTGCCATAGGAGATGCATATAAGAAGCATGTGATTTCTTCTTAGAAACGTTATTATTATTATTATTATTATTATTATTAGTGAAATATCAGTCTATTTTGTTGGAAGGCATGGGCTTGGTATTCTCTTACCCTTCTGCGTTTATTTTGTCAAGTTCATCTCAGGTTCAGTACTGTGGGAAAGCTCCCCAGTACAGTAGAGCACACTAGATGCAGTTTGTAACTGGAGATGCTCCTCATGAAGACTCAAAGCCTCCTCCAGTGAGATCCAGTGAACAAGATCCTTACAACAATATCGTATATAACAGGTCACCAAGCAGGTCGTAGAGGTTCATACAGACTGAGGGTCAGAACTGAGAGGTAGATCTGTAAATTGAGTTGATGTTGTAGTGTGTATTTTGGCTGGACCGAGCAGATTATGTTGTCCTGGTTTCATTTTAGAGCACACATGAAAAGTAAATAAAGGAATACTGAGCAAAAATGCATGTAAACAAAATATAATGAGGCTTGCTATTTTTGCTTGTGTGGAGAGGCCACTATTTATGGATTTATGTATATATATATATATACAGTGGGGCAAAAAAGTATTTAGTCAAATATAAATCTTTTCAATATAAATCTTTGACACTTTGATATAAAGTGTCAACTCTTTGATATAAAAATGACACTTCTTATCAATCCTTGCTGAATAAACATTTTAATTTCTTTCAAAAAAACAAAGAATAAAAATTTACTGACCCCAAACTTTTGAACGGTAGTGTATATTGTTAGAAAAGATTTCTATTTAAGAAATCATTATTATATATTGTAATAACATTTTGCAAGATTTCTGTTTTTTTTCTGTGCGGTAGTGTATATATATATATATATATATATATATATATATAATGAGCAGATTGACAGATGTATTGCTGTTCAGCCTTGAATCCAGTGAGAACTGGAGCTTTCTGACTTTGTCTAAACTGTGAAGTCCAGTCAGATGATGAGGTGCTTGGTCTGTGGTTACTTCCCATCAGCACACGCACATCTTGAGTTGTTCCCCCATCTTTGGTTTTGCTCTTACAAGGGGTTATTCACTTAGGGAATGGGAACATGGGAAATTCAACCACATCCCGCCTCGTTTCCCCCATCCATCTGGACCCACAGTAGTTCAGTCAACTGGGAGCGCGTCATTCCACTGACCCTCTGTCTCGTCCAGGACCCCCAGCAGACACCATGACATCAGCAGGACAGCAGACGAACCCTGCAGCGGTCATCTTGCACCTCCTGTCCTCAAACCACCCCGCTCCCCTCACCTCAGGAGGACTATGGACTATTAGATACTGTGAGGGCTTCTTCTGTGAGCAGTGTCAGACAGAGCTTGTAAATAGTTTAGATGTTAATTGTTGATTAATTTTCTTAATATTTCCCAACATCGTAGAGGCTGGATAAATGTTAAAATTATTTAAAATGAATAAATAAATAGAATACAGAATTATATGTGAAATACATAAATTCTATGTAAAATACATAATTACATAAAATAAAATACATAATTATAATAACATAAATACACAGAAAATTACAGTTTTGTTGTTTAATAATATCAATAATAACACATAAAAATATGTACATTAATTTTAATGATACTAACAATAATAATGTGAATATGTATGTTTTTTTATATTTATATGTACACTACTTTTCAAAACTTTGAGATCAGTTAGATTTTTTTTTTGGAAAGAAGTCTCTTGTGTCCAGGGCTGCATTTATTTGATCAAAATACAGCAAAAATATCTAATATGCTGATTTGCTGCTTAAAAAAACGTTTCTTATTATGATCAAAGTTGAAAACAGTTAATACAGAAATGTTTAATGTAATAGAAAGTTCAAAAGATTTAAAAACCAAAAACATTATAAATGTTTTTACAGTCATTTTGTATCCATTTAATGCATATTTGCTGATTTAAAGTATTAATTTTAGTAAAACAAAAATGACTGGTAGTGTATAATAAATGGTAGTGTATTGTATAACACACACACACACATAATACAGCAAAATAATATATATATATATATATATATATATATATATATATATATAAACACTATATATATTTTATATATTAGTTCTATATATAAAATGATTAGTTCTAAAATAGCACATATAACCTGTCTATATAACACAGTATGTGGTCACATTGAGTGCAGTCTAATAAAAACAACAGAGCTGAAGGTAAACACAAGGTCACATCGGTGAACCATGATGCAAAGTCCCGAAATATCATTTTACCATTGTTCAAAGTCCAGTGAAACACATTTGATTATAGTTCTCAGTCTTTCAAGCATGAATATGAAAAGAAAAACATCTCTTTGTACACACTAATGTCTTTTCTCAGAATACACCAGCTTACGCTTTCCCTTACAACATAAGCCAGACCTCATGCATTTAAAATGCCACCGTGTGCTGGTGAAACATCTCATCCTCTAGTCTACAGTCTTTAAAAAATGCATCACCGCTTCAGCCTTTCTCTTGCAATTTGAATGACACTCAACCAATTACAATCAATCAATGTTTTAGTGCTGGAAATGTGTGTGCTTTAGTGTGAAGAAAGTCCTCTTTTCTTTGCTGTATATTCCTCATAAAATGTCAGTGAGTGGGAGACAATCTCTGTTGAAAAATAAGGGCTTTGCCTCCCAATTGTCTCTGTTGATTACCGACACACAACAGCAAGCAAATAAATCACACTGTGACTTGTAATGTGCAGATTACGCAAGTGCATGAAGTAAGTGGGCTCTAGAGCTTTTATTTTGTTTTCAGTGAAGATTAATGAAGAAGCCTGTATTGCATTATAGTACAGTCCAACGTCTATTGTCACTGAAATATGATAAATTACAGATGGCATGCTACGCAGTATTATAATGGCCCAGTGAGACCTTGACCTACGCTTGGATAAACACACGATACAGTTCAAGTAGTCCACTTCACCCTCTGCACAGTGAGCATTGCATATGGGAAAAGATAACAACAACATCCGCTATAGATCTCAAAGATAATGTCCTATTATTTATTCATAAAGAAGTTACATCACACGAAAATGTTTATGCAGACTGACTGAAAAGCACTTATATGGTGACAAAAAACAACAACAATGTACATGTAGGTGCATCACACATTGCACCAGTAATTTAATTAGTACATTAAAAAATAAATACAAAATAATTTCACTATTAATAATAATTTTAAAATATTTGATTAAATTGTTAATTAATAATTAATAATAATTTATCAAATTATTTGAATATTTTCTCTTAACTGGAAGGTCAGAATAAGTCAAGGAGCAGTACGCAGACACGTACGTTTGTACAGTCCGACACTTTCAGATAAAAACCCATTGGCATTACTCCTTTCCAGGTCACTGGACAGCCACACTGCACCGGTGCAGAGCTGGAGTGCCAAGGCATTGTGTTTCACTCAGGAGGAACGTGACCCAGAAAACATTGACCTTGGACAGATGGGCAGTGCGCTGCAGTACATTGAATGAAAGAGCATGAAGTCATGACTTCAGTCACACAGATGTTGAAAGGTAAAAATAAATGCTGGCAAGGCACGTGCTGTTGAACATATCTATAAATAAACACACATGCGATTCAGGTTAAAGATGATTTTGCATATTTTTCTTAACCATTTTTCATTCTCCCATGTTATTTTTTCTTTTATAAACAGGATTAAACTTCTGAAAAAAATGTAACTAGTGTTTAATTAAGAATGCCTAATGCACTTAAAACTACAGATTTACTGTGAGATAATTAGGAGTAATGTCTTAAAAGGATAGTTCACCTAAAAATGAAAATTCTGTCATTACTTAATCACCCTCATGTCATTCCAAACCCGTAAGACCTTCGTTCGTCTTCAGACACAAATTAAGATATTTTTGATTAAATCTGAGAGCTTTCAGATCCTGCTTGGCCAGCAATACAGCTACCATGTTCAAGGCCCAGAAAAGTAGTAAGGACATTGTTTAAATAGTACATGTGACAATAGTGGTTCAACCGTAATTTTATGAATGTACGAGAACACTATTTGTGTGCAAAAAAAAACAAAAATTATCATTTTATTCAACAATTCCATGTTCCACGTCAGTCTTTAAAGCAACTATAAAGACTTTAAAGCAACTATACGTAGTTTTGTATATTTTTGCAACTTTGGTGCCCTCTACAGTTAAGTAAGTGGAATTCACTATTGTAAATATATAATTGTCGTAATTAAAGTAGATAGCTGTACATGTGCATTTGTTGCTGCCGCAAAGTAATTTTGCTCACCAAAACCTGCCAACCAAACTTATATAGCCTACTCCCAAAACAGTCCTTATTAGAAGTCAGTATACCATCAAAACTCATTTCATGGTGAAAAATGTAAGTAACTATACTTTTTTTTGTATTTTCTGTGCAGTCCCCTACAGTTAAGTAAGTGAAATTGACTGTTGTTTTAAATATTTCACTGTCGTGGATAGTACACGTGCATTTGTTTCAGCCATAATGCAATCAGCTCTTTTTGTAGACTTTCGTACCCGCTCACCAAACGTAACTCCCAGAACAGACGTTTGGTGGGAGCGCTGGAAATAAGCAGAATCCATTCATCGTATTAGAAGCTAGTGTTCCATCAGAATGATTTCAAAACTGATATTTCATGGTAAACAACAACAACCTGTGTACAACACGCAGGAATTAGCAGACTTCATAAATATTTTGGAGATAAAGTCTTGTGTTTACAGAATATGTAAGAAGTCCCCCCTGAGCATTTTACTGGCAGCTCAGTGTTCCGCTCTATTAATAATCTGACACACTTCACAAGCAGCTTGGTTCTTCTTTACAGTGGCTGGTTGGAGTCAAAATGGCTAATCTGTGATAGCACAACTTCACGTGAACAGCCATGTTGACACAAATGTGATTTTTCCTTAATGTTGCAAATGTCTTTTCCACTGAACTACATGTACTTCAGGTTATAAAGCCTAGGCCATTGTCCTTGACCCTTACGAAAAAAAAGTTTATTGAAGTATGCTATTAGTATACTTTTTAACTAAAAATAGGAAAGTATAGGAAAGTCAGCTGCGTCACGCCGGATCTGTTTCCTACTTTGTTGTGATTTGATCTGAACAGAAATAGCATATCCCTGTGACGCAGCTGACACAGAACAGCATACGCTGTTTACGTCCAGTGGATATTCTCCAAAATGGCACCAGGGTAATGCGGAGGAGACGAATTGTTGAATAAAGATGTTTTTTTCTTTTCTTTTGCGCACAAAAAGTATTCATGTAGCTTTGTATAATTGCAGATGAACCACTGATGTCACATGGATTATTGACTTATACTTAAAGGGGTCATATGATGCGATTTCAAGTTTTCCTTTCTCTTTGGAGTGTAACAAGCTGATTGTGCATAGATAAGATCCCTGAAGTTGCAAAGACTAAAGTCTCAAAACCAAAGAGATATTCTTTATCAAAGTTAAGACTCTGCCACGCCCCCCTAAAACGGCTCGTTCTATCAAGCCCCCCCATATCTACCTCACTATGTGGAAATATTAGCATAATGCGCCAAAAAAAAACACAAAGAAAGAAGGCGTGGTTTCAGTAACCGCAGTTAGTGTTGAAGCAGCATGTCAGGGAGACGCTGTGTGTTTCTAGGCGAAAACAAAAGCACTTTATTTGGCCTTCCGGAAGTAGATGCATTTAGAAATCTTTAAGATTACTTACAACAGAACAGCAATGCATTTTATGGACGACCGTTTATTGTTTATTTATTTTTATTTATGGAACTTACCCACTGTTTATAAAAAAGAATGCATGAAGCTAGAATAAAATGTTTTTGTTTACAAGCAGATACCCTGTTCTTTCTTTTGATGTTTTGTATGTTCAGATATTCACATAACAAAATATATACAAGTTAATACCTAAATAGGGACATAGTAGTATACTTAAAGTATGATGTAAAGTTCACTTAAAGAAAACTTACAAGTATACTTGCAGTATAAAACTACAAAAAAGTAGTTTACTGAGATTATACTTCAAAGTGTACTAAAATATTACAAGTATTTAATTAGTAAACTATCAGTACACCTATAAGTTTACTTTTAGTATAGCTGTAGTACAAACTAAAAACATAGATGTAAACTAGTTGTGTACTCAAAGTTTACTACTGTTCTACTTAAAGTATACTTAAAAATATACTTTTATATACTAGAAAGTGGGCCAATTTAGTCCCAAGGAAATAGTACACTTACAAGTATACTACTAGTACACTGATATGTGTATACTTATTACAAAAAGTATACTTAAAAATGTACTTGAACTTTACTTAAGTATACTTAATAAAATAAACTTGAAGTATACTTCTTTTTGGTAAGGGGATCACAAATGATGCCATAAAACATTCACTTTTTTATTTACATATCACTTTATCACTTCCTTTCACAACATTTGTTACCAAATAAAGAATTTATCAGAACTATCTAAAGAAAAGAGCTGAGAACTAAACAACAGAAGAATGACAGACATCATGTATTTTATTTTGGCATAACAGCAAATCCATTACATTGCACTTTCTCACTGCTGACTTTCAGGACTTACAGTTTGGTAGGCTGAAATAGGGCACCTGGAGAACTAATGAAGAAAAAAATGTAAACAACAGCAAAGCCCATTATTTGGAAAACAGTTTCCATTTTGGGTATCTGTGGGCCACCGAACAGAAAGTATGTCAAACAAGAGACAGCTGAGAGAAACACGCTCCTCTTGTTAAAGAGTCTTTTTAAGACTTTATACAGTGTATTAAGATGCATATTAAGACATGACACAGCCCATATGGTATTTGTGTTGACTGTGACAAAAGTGGGGAAATAAATAATTGGGCTTGCTTAAAACGAGCAATAATTTCAAAATAGGGATAGTAGAGTATATATTTCCCACAAAATCTAAACCGACACAAATGGCAGGCATGTACATATAAAACATTGAAAAGGAGAGGGATTTTTTACATCAGCATTTTGCTGACATTGATTAATCCTCATCTCCAAGTTAAAGATTTTATCATAAAAAGTGTTTCTAGGTAGAACTTGAGGTACACATAGGTGTTGGTATAGTTATCGTCAGAAAGTGCACCTTATACAGCGGCCCCACAAAGTAATTACTCTTAAAGGGATTCACTCAAAATGGAAAATTCTGTCATTATTTAATCACAAATTATGCTGTCCCAAACCTGTATGTGTGTGTGTTTCTTTAACAGAACACAAAAGAAGGTAGTACAGAATGTTTAAATAGTTTAAATTTAATTTAGTCCATGAAATTTCGTTTTTGTAATTAAATCATTGGGGTCCAAAATAACCCTGTTTGATCTCATTAACTTCCATTTTATGGACAAAAACAAAACAAAACACAGAGACATTATAAAATGATTTTCTTTTGTGTTCTATTAAGAAATGTTCGGAATGACATGAGTAAATGATGACAGAATAAAAAAATGGCCTTCTCTTGGCGCTCAGTGGAGACGTTACTGCGCACGGCTCTCAGGATGCCTCTGTACGCAGCCAACATCACTCCCCAAGGCGCCAAGAAACCGAGAAAAGTGCGGTAAAGGTTCATCCCGGCCACCCAATCCTGCATGGGATACTTCTCGAAGCAGAAGGTGTGGTTGAAGCGGTCCTTGAAAAGCTCATCGTGGAAGAGAGGCGCAGAGTTGGCCACTATTTCTGTTACCCACACAACAACGCTGACCAGCAAGGCTGTTTTGACCCTGCGGACTTTAGCGAATTTCAGGGGATGAGCCACTGCCAAGTAACGATCTACAGATATGCAGCAGAGGAAGGCAATGCTGACGTAGATGTTGGTGTAAAAGATGAAACCGAACAGCTTGCAGGACACTTGACCGTGGATCCAGTTGTCATGGTGGAGGAAATAATCAATCCAAAGCGGCAAAGTGGCTATATACAAGAGGTCAGCCACCGAGAGGTTCATCAAGTAGACCCCCAACTCGTTCTTCTGTCTGACCTGCATGTATGCGGCCCATAGGGCCATGCAGTTGGTGGGGAACCCAAGGACGATGACGATAATATACAGCGCCGGCTGGAAGAACTGATCTATGTTCGAGTCAACATTGCACGAGGTTGAGATGTTACACATGGTCTCTTCGCTTCCTCAGAGACTTCTATAATCATCGAAATTGGCTGAGGCTTCTACAGTCCCAACTCAAGCCATGTTTAAAACTAAGACTAGAAAGTCAAGAGGTTTCCTTTTAGCTTCCATGTATTGTATTGTGACTGTAACACTGTTGCCCACTACGGTCTAGCATGGTGGGCCTGATTTGTCACATGTCTCTACCACATTTCATGGCTAGTGTTTTAACCTCTAGGAGAGCTCAGAGGTCAAAGACGTGCCCACAAGAGAACATGCCATTAATCCTCGTAAAACGATCACATGGATTGGTTTCAGGTGGGTCAAGTTTTTTTTTAGCAGTATGAAACAGTCACTTCCATCTCTGAAGGTCGCCCAATGTCTAATCGGCTTTGGTGTGTCCAACAACATCCATCTGCAAAATAGGAAAAAGAACAATTATGTGAGTCACATGATTCATTATTTACGATCATTTTTATTATTGTTGAGAAATGTGCTTTTCAGAGCAGTGCTGTGTATTTGTTAGATTAGATTTGCACTATGATACATTGAGTGTATGTTTTCCTATTCCCACCCCTAACCTTGGTCATCCTCGCATTAGCATCTGTTTGTTTGGAGTCAACTGAATTAACATTCATTACAAATCTCCATGTTGTTCTCCAAGGTTTGTATCTGCTGGTACAGAATCTCTAGGAGGAAGTTTCTTTCTGAACAGACGTTTGCGCAGATCTTGGTATGAAGGACGTATTTTTTCTCCTTAGATCAAGCAGATTATATGCACCTTCTAGAATGAGGAAATATGATATAACATAAACAGAGCAGAACATAATGACTTGACAGGTGACCTACATGCTCCTTGCATATGCAAGCCACTTTTATAAACCTTTCAGATCCATACAGTATTCCTTAAACAATAAAGAACAACTAACAAAAAAATATATAATTTTATGAATTTAATTCATATTTATTTAATAATTTAACAATTTACAATGTCTCATTTGAACTGTATAATTTTATGGTTAGTTTTTTAAATTATTGAAAATAATTTTCAATAAAACAAAGCAATAATAATACTAATTCTTTCCACTTTTACTTCCATCATTTGTCACATGTGCAGTTCATGCACACTCATTAAGGAAAAAAGCAGCCTTTTTGTAAAAGGTGTTGTTATTTAACCATAGTGATGTGGCACACCCACAGTGTCTGGAGTGATACCAAGCTTGTCATTTGCTTCAGATTGTTTATAGATTCATAGTGAAACTGTGACTGTGCAGAAGAGATAAATGGGATATGCTAAGTGTACAAACCAACTGGGTGCCAGTGCATGTGCAAACCTTAGCATCCATATGTAAGATCACAATCACACACACAAAAAAAGCACAACATTATTTCAAACATGCACTAAGTAAAAATCATAATATTTTACTTCTTGTGTAATTGTATTTGTTCTTCTCCTAAATTAAATGTAACTAATTTTATAACTTATAACTAAGTAAGTGTAATTTAAACTTCAGACTCAAAGGAAATAACTGAACAATGTGGAGAAATTACTCAATGTGATTCAGACTCTGGGGATAATGGACAACATCCCAAAACAATAAACCAGATCAGTTCATTCTCTGAACTAAAATGTTTGCTCTAAAACTTATCCTACTGGAACCTTTTACAATTCAGAATAACTTCAGACTTCTTTGGAAATTGTACATTTTTAATGTACAGACTCCCTGTTGAACCCCCCCCCCCCCCCCCCCCCCTAAAAATTATTTTCCTCTTTCAAAGCTGTAACTAACTATGCATTCAGAGGTTCAGGAAACTATATGTAACTCTTGAGTGATGCAGGCCCCCCAGTGTCTGTGGAAGATAAAAC